GATAATTTTTACATATTGTAAAAGCAGAGAAAATGCTTTTTCAAAATATATAAATATTTCTGTATTTGATAGAAAGGGGAATATATCCTTATCGTAGGGAAAATTTCACTTTCTCTGGAGCAAATTTTTACATTTTCAAATACTAGAGAAAATTTCCTTAAAAATGGTATATAATTTATGTACTTTTATGTCATGGCGAAGAAGAAACATCAATTTTTTAACGCTATCGGTCATAATGACCGATGCGGTAGAGAAGGGGTTAAATTAAAAGCTTACTTGTATATTTGCACAGGGGAGCTGAGATTTTTTAGTGTGTGGTTTGGGGGAGGGGAGGGGGAAGTAGTGGGTCCTCTCTGGTACAATGTGACTGTTTATATTTCATTCATTGCATTGTAAGAAATAAAAGCATTAAAACTGTAGATATTAAAGCATCGAGTTTTGTGTTTGATTAAACAAGTAGACTGCCCTTTTCTGTCAAAATATATTTCTGTATATCGGAGATATAAACAGTAGAACCGACATTTTACAATTCCCTTTTCAGAATACTTCGTGAACTTTTTTTCCTTGTCTATTCTGCAACAAATAAACAAAACCACATGAGAGAATAATGTTACAAATGAGGAAATTTGTTTCCTTCGAAAAAAAAAAACTTTAAATCGCTGTTTGTGGTAACACGACAACAATGCAACAGATGCAGAATAAACATTATACTTCAGAAGGACAAAGACTTTAAAATGTCCTTAAATCTAATGAAAAAGATGACGATTACTTCCCAACACCCGATCCAGATCCGATGCTGTCTCAAGTTCATCCTCTGTGTCCTTGTCGATTCCATCCACCTCTTAAATATCACGCACAATGTTTTTGTGTAAACGTTCAGAACCAAAGCTCAAGGTTGTACCATCAAAGGTATTTTTTATGTTCCTGAGCTGTTAATTTAACTGCTGGAAGTCAACTTTGTCCCAGTCACTTGGAAGATGGCGATTTTAACTTATCATGCATAAAAGCAGCTAGTGAATTTCTCAGCAAGGCTGCTATGTACAACAATGCAGCATACCAAATATTACAGAATTGGTTTTGATACATCCTCCAACATTACAGAAAATGATTGTTTGACACTGACTGGAATAAGCAAAGATACATATGATGAAATGTACGAAGCTTTGAAAGACGTTGGGAACACACCTCTTTGGTCAGTTCGCACATTACTTGGAATTTTCTTATTCAAAATATGATACGGACTTTCCAATAAAGAACTTTCAACCATTTAAATATCTCTGAATCTAGTTTGACCCTATTCGCAACATTTAAAATATTTAAGCAAAAATTCTCACTCGCATGTTAAAGTCAAAACACTGAAGATATCAAGCAAGAATGACATAGCTGTTGTCGATCGAGTTTCAGGAATGCTGTATTTTTCCTAGAGGATATAAAATCTATGCTTCATGAGACAAGGGAGTAAAAAATGTCTACAGAGGATGCTTCTGTCAGTCTTTTAAATACAAAAGTTTAAGTCTGGGAAATTGAAGAAACTGAAATACCGCAAACTGTTGATAAAATGATCATTTCAAGTACACTAGTTCAGAGATACATGTTAACATTGTGGTACCACAGCCCGATTCATCCGACCACTGCAACAACATCATAATCTAAATATTTAAAAATATATATATTCAAAATCTATAATTGAAATCTTACAAAACGATATCAATCGTTAAAAATGTATTAAATCATACTGTCCGTTTCAAATTATACAACAAAAAAAAAATGAAAATTCAAAAATAAAAAATTAATTCAGTAACATGTATCGTATCTACTTGCAGATACATTAATTATCTTAGCGAACAGAGTATGTCTGAAAACTAATCGAAATGTTTACGACAATAATTGCACTGCATGTCGAAAAGGAAACCCAGAGGTCATCTAGGCGACGCACAAAGAGGTGCCAGGTACAGTCCAAGGTTTGCAAGGACCGCAGCCAGACTTCAAGGTAACAGTCTTCGACCACCAGCGAAGAGCCATTTGCATTTTTCAGCGATGCTCATATAATAGTTTTAAGGAAGCCATCTAAGCGAGTTTAGCGGACAGGAGACTCCAATTTACTCCTTTCCCCGTCAGAGTTAGGCCTATGAGGGATGACACCTCCCAGACAATGACGTTTCTAATTCCCTTTGCTCAGTTTTTACAGGGTGTGATATAAATGCCATGCAGAGCTAGTTCCGAGTTAGGATGTAATGCAAAAATAATAACAAGCTACGCAATTCTAATGCGTCAAATATATACGAGTTTACTATTTGGCTGCGCTAGAAAATGTGTAGTTTAAAAAAAAAACATTTTATAGAATGGGCCGTTAGGAAAAAGTGAGGAAGCAGCAACGTCGCACACTATTTGGATGAATTTTTGTAAGCATGACGAGCAGGCACTCGGGACTCTGCAAACCTTTTGTCCCTATGTCATGTTTTTGTTCAATTTGTTAAAATTTGGGTTCCATTGGCTAAGGAAACGACAATACCCGTACGAAATTCAGAGGTGTATTACGTCTGGATTTTTTGAAAATCCTGGCGCAAAAGAGGCGTATTCTTAAAAATAGTATTAAAATATGATTCATTTTCAGGCGTACACATATTTTTGCCAGAAATACGTCTCCTTTTCTCCTGGCGTAAATTCTCAATGCGGGCGTATTTTTTACTTAGTCTCTTTTGCACAAGGAAATTAAACCTTAGAAAATTTCAAAAGGCGTATTTTTGGAAATCCTGGTGGATTTTCTGACTTCGCCCTTATTATTAAGAGAGTTAGATAATTGTTTTTTTAAGTCCTTTAAGTTTTGACAAAGCATTTAGCTGGTGCTAAAATAATTTTCAATCAGTTAATTAAATGTAGTATTTGATTTGAACATATTTTATTGTAATTTATAATTACAAAGGGATTGGGCACAAGTTCTGAAAACTTATTACGCCCTCTCCCTACATGTAAATTACACATTAAAAATTGTCACAGTTAAAAATGTTAAACATAATGTTTTTAAAGTATACAATATTTGCAAAAGTTTACAAATTGATGCATTTTACAGATATATATATACATACAAATAATTTTGTACATATTCATATTCTGATTTTGTGGTGACGCTCAATCCGGAATTTTGCTTTCCGTCTTTGTATACTTTAATTTCTTCTAGACAGGAAGTTATTAGATCGTAAATGAAACGTTGAGCAAGCATGCTGTTGTATACTATCATTTTATGTAGAAATTAGAGTTTGGCCCTGCACAGAGTAAGTGTTTTATCTCAAATTATATGAATTATTACTGTTATTATGAATATTGTAATTTTTTATTGTTTAAAAACCTTATATCAGAGATTTGATTGCTCGAGCATAATGTAAACAAACCTGGAATTACTTCATTGAATTTAGGTCATGTTTTGCTTTAGATATTTGGTGTATTCTTAAAAGTAGCATTTATTAGACACTGTGTTGATCATAATTCAATGTGACATGAAAATCAGTAAGGCTTATCTTGTACAATCTGTTTTGTTGTATTGTTTACAGTTTTGTACCCTCTCTGGGGGTTTGGAAAGCAATAAAAATTGCACAGTACAAAATCTAGGCGCCAAGCTTCATCAGAATGGCAGATGGGAAACCTTCCACGGAAATGGACAAGCAACGGCAGCAAGCACTCGCAGAAAAGGCTGAACAGATTTATGAAAGGAAAGTAGAAAAATACAAAGACAAGCAAAGTGTAAAATCTAAGCGATCAAAGTTATCCAGACTATCGAATCTGTCCAGTGTAAGTTCATTATACATTAAGGTATGTCACTCGTGAAATTTGTTATATCAAATATTTTAGAGAAGTATATTTTGGATAAGTACTCATATAGTATGACTCAAAATCGCAGAGAAAATGGGGGGTAGTGTGCATCTAACTGAGCTACGGTACAATTAAGTTGACCTTTTTGCACTTAAATTGTAACTCTTTGGTTAATCACTTTAACCGTTATTATATTTTATCAGATGTAACCATGACAATAAACATAATCTTATTTTACGTAAAATAGTTTGAATAATATTTATCATTGAACAAATCATGCAACTTAATGCGCGTAAATTATTGTGTAACCTTTTTGCACTAAAAAAGTCTCATATTTGGGGTATTAAAAATCTAAATAGGCAATAGAATATTTTCTTGTATCAAACTTTTTACGACTTAAGTGCTGATTGGTCAAAAGTATCGAGTAGTTAAAAATAATGAAAGAAAAAGTTGGGGTCAGTGATGTAAATTTTGAAATATTGGTCAAAATATGCGATTTTCTGGCAAAAAAACTGTCTAAATTTTATCTCGATTTCCTTAATATATCTTCATTTCTTGGTAAAGTTTGTTGAGCGAAGGTGTAAATTTTGTTATAAAAATATAAATTGAGACCTATATTTAATACTTCAGCCATATCATAACGGAAAATATTCTCTGAGTAAAAGTATGTGAGGCTAGAGTTCCAAGATATTCAATTTAATAAGTGTGTAGATTTGCAGAATTTTCTACTAAATATCCTTCCACCACAAGAAATAGTCCCTTATAAATCTTGCTTCTTTATGAATTTTTGAGCAGTTTTTGAATTGAATGTTGAACATTTTACTTTGTTTAATTTAAATATGTTATAAAGATTGAATTGTAATAAATAGTTTTTAAGTAAGAGGTTGTGACTGAGATTTTCTAAAAGGCTGACGAGTGACATACCTTAAGCAGAAAACCAAGGTCGAAGAAGCTCGTGTCAAATTGAAATACATAAAGCAAGATTCAGAATTATTGAAGGAAAAGGCTGCACTGGAAGCTAAGATGTCTATTCTGGACAAAGAAAGACAGTATGAGGAGTGCACTCAAGGATTAAATGCTCTGAATGAATTATTGACTTGGCATCGAGCGAAGAAGAGGAGGAGCCTTATGAAAATGAATTAACAGACACTCGAGAGTCCCGTGTTAAGCAGTAAGTTGAAGAACAAAATCAGATGTCACGTTCATGTAGCTCTCCACCTGAAACTCAAGACCGTGCCTATGACAGTGATCAGTGTACAACTCAAGTTACACCATTAAACATGTTAAATGCAGAAACTCCTCCATTCATTTCAAGACAAGGAAATATGTGTGAAGAATTCTCTAAATTCATGGTAAAGAAGGACATGCTTTTGAAAAGGATTCATGAATTTGATGACAGACCAGAGTTCTTTGGCTCATGGAAAAGCACCTTTGTGAATGTAGTACAAGAACTGAATCTTAGTCCCGCAGAAGAGGTTGACTTACTTATACAGTATTTAGGACCCAAGTCAAAGAAATCAGCTATGAGTATCCGGTCAGCCAACTACAGTGATTCTTCTCGAGCAAGAGACAGGATCTGGCAGAGATTGATTGAACGTTACGCAAAACCAGAATTGGTCGAATCCTCTATCAAACAGAAACTTATGTCTTTACCAAAAATCGCAAGCAAGGAAGTGAAAAAACTATATGAACTTGTGGACATTGTGGTGGAAATTGAATCTTTAAAGAAAGATGAACAGTATTGTAGTCTCTTTGCTTCATATGACTCTTCAGCTGGAGTTAATTTAATTGTCAATAAACTTCCTTATCAGTTACAGGAAAAGTGGACCAATGAGGCAAGCAGATACAAAGAGCAACACGACCTGGCCTTTCCACCATTCCACATATTTGCACACTTTCTGGAAAAGATGGCAAGAGTGAAAAATGACCCATCCTTTGTTTACGAAGATACAAGACCATGTAAACTGAAACCTCAAACTTCATCTCATTCTGTTTTTGTCAAAAAGGTGGATGTGCCAGTCACGAACTCTGTGTCAGAAACCAAGACATCGGCTTTGACTATATGTCCCTTGCATAAAACGAACCACAGTTTAAATAAGTGTCACCAGTTTCGTGAGAAATCGTTACAGGATCGACTAGAGTTCTTAAGAAGTAAAGGACTTTGTTTTAAGTGCTGTGGTCAGAGGAGTCACCTAGCTAAGGACTGTCGCTCAAATATGATGTGTAGTGTGTGTAAAGCAACCAATCACCCAACGGCTTTGCATATACACATACCTACTCACAGTGATCAAGACTGTAACAAGAACTATCTTGCTAAGACTACCACAGAAGAAGTGACATCAGCTTGCTCCATGGTTTGTGGAAGAGCAGGTGCAAGGAAGTCTTGTGCTAAGACAGTATTAGTGAAAGTATATCCCAGAGGATGTCCAGAGAAAGCTGTTCTTATATATGCAATTGTGGATGAACAGAGCAACCGCTCTCTAGCAAGGTCAGCATTCTTTGACCTCTTTGCTATCTCAGGACCCGAGATACCATACTCAGTATCATCTTGCAATGGGAACACGACGGAGTTTGGTAGACGATGTTCAGACTTTACCATAGAATCTTTTGATTCAAGCTTTAAGATGGATCTGCCCATGCTCATAGAGTGTGACCAAATACCGAACATTCGGGATGAGATACCATCTCCTTTAGTGGCAGAACAATTTAGTCATTTGAAGGACATTGCTAAGTTCATCCCTCCTATCCAGGAAAATGCTGAGATATTACTACTCATTGGAAGGGATTTACTACCGGCTCATCATGTCTTAGAACAATGTTTAGGACCTATACATGCGCCATTCGCACAAAGGTTACGGTTGGGCTGGGTCATCGTTGGAAATGTGTGTCTCGGCACAGCTCATCAGCAAGATTCTATCTCAGTTATGAAGACCTTCACCTTGAAGGATGGTAGAACTACTGTTCTTGAGCCATGCTATAACAACATTCATGTTGAGGATAGTTGTGTTTTCTCAAGGACAAAAGAGGATAATATTCCTGGACTTTCAATAGAAGATAAAGACTTTTTGAATCTCATGGAAACAGAAATGTACAAAAGTCCTCATGGATCTTGGACAGCTCCCCTTCCTTTCCGAAGGAATCGTCAGCATCTACCAAATAATAAGCCTCAGGCCCATAGAAGAGCCCATTCACTGGACATGAATTTAAGAAAAAATCCAGAAAAGATGGAACATGTTATTGGTTTTATGAAGAAAATATTAAGAAACGGACATGCCGAACCAGCTCAAGAACTGGACTTAAATACTGAATGCTGGTACCTGCCATTATTCGCTATGTATCACCCTAAGAAGCCAGGAAGTGTGCGTTGTGTCTTTCACTCTTCAGCTAAATATGAAGGGATCAGTCTAAACGATGTGTTACTTACAGGACCAGATCTTGTGAACTCACTCTTAGGCATATTACTAAGATTCCGGCAACATCCTGTTGCAATAACTGCAGATATAGAACAAATGTTCTATCGCTTCTCTGTTCCGGAAAAACACAGGGATTATTTAAGATTTATGCGGTATAAAGACAATGACCCAAGCCAAGACATGATTGAATACAGAATGACCAGACATGTGTTCGGAAACAGCCCGTCGCCTGCTGTGGCAACCTGTGGACTGAGAAAATGTGTAATTGATGCAGAAGAAGATGTGAAGGGCTTTGTTTGCCGAAATTTTTATGTGGACGACGGTTTAATGTCGTTTGACGGCAGTGTCGAAGCTGTGAACTTATTGTCCCGCACTCAGACAATGCTCAAGAAAGAGGGAAATATTCGTTTACACAAAATTACTTCAAACAGTCTAGATGTGATCAAAGCCTTCCCTCAAGAAGATCTTGCCAAAGAAGTCACAGGCATTAAACTAGATTTAAGTGAAGCACCACTTCAGAGAAAATTGGGGGTCAGCTGGGATATTTCCACAGACTCATTTACATTTCAAGTGACTTCTACCCATAGGCCATTCACCAAAAGAGGCGTTCTCGCAACTATTAACGGTTTATATGATCCGATTGGAATTGTGGCGCCAGTTACTATTCGTGGCAAACTTATCATGCAGGATGTTATGTCATCTGTAACAGATTGGGACGAACCTATTCCACATGCATTCCAAGCAAAGTGGCACAACTGGGTGAAATCCCTTGTTGACTTACAGTCCATCCTCATACATGTACCTAGATGTTATGTCAACTTGTCTTCATCTGAAGTAGAACGGAGGAAACTTCATGTCTTTTCTGATGCTTCACAGAGGGCGATCAGTGCCGTAGCTTATTTGAAGATATGTGACGTCAGTGGAGGTCATCATGTCAGCTTCGTTCACGGAAAGGCAAGAGTGGCTCCCTCACAGGGCCACACAATTCCTAGGCTAGAGTTGTGTGCGGCCGTACTTGCCACAAGGCTCAAAGACACCATAACACAACACTTGACTGTACCCATTGACTCTATTACGATGTATACAGACAGCAGAGTTGTACTCGGGTATATAAACAATGAACATAGACGCTTTTATGTGTATGTTGGAAACCGTATAGACATGATTCGTCATTCTACAACATCAGACCAGTGGACGTTTGTGTCATCTGAGGACAACCCTGCTGATATAGGTACGAGATCTATTCCTGCTAATGAAATTGAACAAAGTGCATGGATTCAAGGACCTTCAATTTTAAGGAGTGAACATCCACTAGAACACAGAAAAACGTCATATGAGCTGATAGACCCAGAAGAAGATAAAGAAGTCAGACCTGTTGTTATAGTTACGAAGAAAAGTTCTGCTATACAAGAGACAGTTTTAGGTATTCATCGATTTGAAAGATTTTCCACTTGGCGGAGCCTTGTACGAGCTAAAGCTAGGATCAAATGTGTAGCCAAATCATACAGAAATCTTTAGAAGCTCCAGAAACACTCATGGCTTCTCTCACAACAGACGAACTTACTCAAGCTGAGTTGTTTGTTATACAGCAAGTTCAACAGGCATGCTTTCCTGGTGAAGTTAGTGCTCTTAAGGAGGGGAGAGAACTGCACAGGACAAGTTTTATCATCTCACTGCCTCCAATACTGGACTCGAATGGCATCATGAGAGTTGGTGTAAGATTACCACAAGGGAGGAAATCTACTTGTTTAGAAGTTCATCCAGTGATAATACCAAAAAATAGTCACATTGCTGATCTAATTATTCATCATTTTCATGAGAGTGTCCACCATCAGGAAAAAAATCTGTCATATGAAAACTATCTATATTCATACCATATGAAGAAAATCAATGAACAAAAAAATTGAACATTTCAATCTGTATTTAGATGCATCTGTCACAGTGAGTGGTAAAAAAATTGCCAGTCGCTGATGATCCTAATATCATATTGTTTGGATGGTCCTTATGAATCCATTAACATTAATGATGGCTGTGTTTAAAGGCAGTTTTTCAGACTTTTTCAGTTTTTTGTCCTGACAAGCATTTCCTACAAAGAAATTAAATCATAATTTTTTTTATTATATTACTACCCATACTGATATTCCAATTGTTTCCGTCAAAGGGGCTAACTCCTATAATTACTGAATAGGACGTCATTACCTACAATAAATTCCATCTTATCACCTGAAAGGTACATGTTTTGTCAACTTGTTTATGTTAAACTGCACTGGTATTGCATGTTTTGAGCAAACAGAAGACCCTGTGTTTTGCACATTAATAACTGCACAATAGAGGCATATGTCAGACATCAGAACATGTTATTGACCAACTCTCTATATAAGTTGTGATTTCCCAAAGAACCAGCTACCGGCCAAATTGATCGCTTCAATTGATAAAAATTCCGCTTTGAAATAAAAAAAAAAAATTTAATTGTTGTATTGTTTTATTTGTCATAAACATCGACCCAAAGCCCGATACAATTGATCTCTAACCCTTTACTTTGAAATAAAGGGAAAACACTGTATAAGGTTGTTATTGGAACCTATTGTCCAAATGAGATGTAATAGTCCATTTTAGTTATGATATTCTAATTGGATTTATGAGTTTTACAGACATTATTTTGCTGAAAAGATGGATATTTTTAATCTGCATAAAATAATAAGAATATATCAAATGCAACAGTTTAATTATTACAAGGATTTTTTTTCAATTTCAAAACCCTCACATTTGTGAGATTAATCCCCATTAATGTGGGACCTGCGTCCTAAAATATTTTGTGTGATACACTGTAAAGTTGTGTTTACAAGTCTCTGCACATGTGTCAGAACAATATACACAGTTAAAAATCACTTTTAATGTTAATTACTTACTCAAAATTTAGTAAAGCCTTCAAATAGTTGTCGCTTAGCATAAAAAATGCATAACTTCATTATGACTTCGATGAAACTGAATCATTCAATTCACCTGGCCGTGTTACGTTGAACCTGAAACGAAAACGAGATCCGAATTTACTCTGAAAATTTCGTTGCAAAATGAACAACTATAAGAATCTACATTTCAAACACAAAATATGACAAACAATTAACAGTACATACATATTCACCGTCGTTTCAAGGGATTAGAGCACATATATCCAAAAGGAAACTCTTGAACAAGCCACAGAAGGGTACACTCCTATTTTTCTGTAACCAGGAAGTGCAAGTAGAACCTGGCTGAATCGGCCAGTCAATTTCGTATTCATCACAGAATCGGGAAATATTTAAATAACTATAATTTTTGTCCTTTAAATCTTTATTTTGAAAATTTATTTCCGCGTCGAAGTCGGAACTTTGATGACTACGGGGTATACACTTATTTTACGAAACCAAAAGTAGGGGGGTTTTATTGAATGCCGTACGTCAAATATTACGTCTCCTTTATCACCAGATGGATGTAATATAATTTATTGGCAATATACATGTATGCTGACAGCTTAATAAATGGATATGTTGAAATAAGATGGACCTGGCACAGGCACTCTTTGCCTGTTGCACCAGGGTCTGGTGTAAACCGCACCAAGCAATATACAGCACTGTAGAGTTATACATGTATATTGTATATAAGGATATACCTAAAATTGACTAAGTCAATCATTTTGTTTTAAAAATAGATACATAATGGAAGGGTGGCCTGGAAAAAAGTGGGGTGGGTCTTTAATTTATCCTTCTCTTAGCTCCCATCCCTTCAACTCTACTATTTTGAATTTCCTTTTTCTTCCTCTGTCTGACTCCGACCTTCCCTATTTCTTCCTCTCCAAACTCTCCTTTACACCTCACATTCACCCATCACCACCGATCAAAACATTTATTTGTACCGGTAAATGTACATGTATTCACAGAGAGGTTACTCTCTCTCTAGAACCATGATATTTATATACTACAATGTACTAATGACATGCACAGTGGGGGCACATCTGTTTAGATACATTGTAGATGATTGTAGTTCATGTTCACTAGTTTGCAAATAGTAAATGAGTTGTGTCCCTTTGTGGGGTCTTTTTTTTCTTCCCATGTGGTACAATCCACTATAATCACTTAACCAAAAGGTCAAGACTTAAAGAGTGAAAAGAATAATGTTTTCTTTGATCTTTTTGCCACCAGGGCAGGCATTGGGGTGTGCTGTGATAAATTCAGTGTTTTAAAAACACTAGGAGGTTAATTATAAATGGGGATAGATATAAAAAAAAATGTTTATAATTTATCGAGTTTGAAGTTTGACGCTCAGACGGACAGACTCAGAGGAAACCTATAGTCCCCTCCGGTTTCACCGGTAGGGGACTAATAAAAGCAGTAATGTAATATAGCTAATAAATTAATTGATTTCTAATTGAGCTAGAGATAAAAAGTATTTTATTAGTCCCCTACCGGTGAAACCGGAGGGGACTATAGGTTTCTTCTGAGTCTGTCCGTCCGTCTGTCAGTCTGTCCCACTTGGTTTTCCGCACTTTTTTCTTAAACGCTTGCAGATATTGAGCTGATGTTTGGTATGTGAGTGTATCTTGATAAGTTACAGATCAAGTTTGCATTTCGTTCCGCTTCATTGATTTTTGACGGAATTACGGCCTGTTCAATTTTTAAGGGTTTTCCGCAATTATCTTCTAAACGCTTGTAGATATTGAGCTGATTTTTGGTATGTGGCTTTACCTTGATTAGTTATAGATCAAGTTTGCATTTCGTCCCACTTCATTAATTTTTGACGGAATTATGGCATTTTCAATTTTAACGGGAACCAGATTACACTTGCCGGTAGGGGACTAGTATTGCTAATGCAATACTCTCAGAATGCTTGTTTTATTTAGGAGCACTAATGCCACTGTAAACATATTTATACATTTCTAATTGAAAATACAACAGAACTCAGTTCTCATAAAAAGAGGTAAATCTCAGTTGTTTTAGGAGTTAAACTTTTATGCATTCCAAAATACATGCAGATATATAAAGAAGCTTAGTTATAAGAAAGCAAGTCCGAGTAACTTCCCTGTAAATGAGTTGTACTGTATATTCTAATTTGTGTTTACCAATGACAATTATGCTTGAGAAATATTTACTAAAATGTTGCATTTTTAACTAATGCAGGTATTTGCTAGAAAATGAACAGATGGTCCCCCACTTTACCACACTGATAGCTTCTCAAAGATTATATATATATATATATATATATATATATATATATATATATATATATATATATGTTACATGCAAATTAACAGGTAAAAAAAATCTAGAATGAAATATTTATTTCTAAGGTATACATCTAATGTTGTTATTTATGCATGATCATGTGGCTGACATACCCCCCCCCCCCATATTTTTGGCAACCTGTCTGCTTTTCTGCGACTACTCCATGCTCCTTTTCCATGATTGGTTTTAAGCTCACCTGAGCGAAAGGCTCAAGGGAGCTTCTCTGATCTGTTAAAGGGGTTTCAAATTTGTTCAAATGAAGGGCCATACTCTCTTTCCAAGGGGAGATAACTAAGAAAAAGTTAAAATTGGGTGTGGGTATTTAAAAATCTTCTTCTCAAGAACCACTGGGTCAGAAAGATGAAACTTATGTGAAAGCTTTCTGACATAATGTAGATTCAAGTTTGTTCAAACCATGACCCCTGGCTAGGGTGGGATCACAATGAGTGAACAAATTTTTACATAGAAATATATATATAGAAAAAATCTTTAAAAATCTTTAAAAATCTCATTCTCAAGAACAACAAAGCTGTGGTTGGTCATAATTATATGGAAGCATTGTCAGGTAGTATAAATTAAAGTTTGTTCAAATCATTACCCATGGGAGTTGAGAGCCTAAATGGGTGATCAAATTTTTATGTTAGGCATACATGTGAAAAATCTTCTCAAGAACAGTTTAGCAGTGATTAAACATATTTATATGGAAGCATCCTTGATAGTTTACATTCAAGGTTGTTCAAATCATGTCACCCAGGGGTAGGGAGGGGCCATAATTGGTGATCAAAGTTTAAAATGAGAATACATAGGAGAAATCGTTAAAAATCTTCTTCCAAAGAATTGCAAATCCATGATTAGCCATATAAATTCAGAAGCATCCTCAGGTATGGTTAGGTATATTCAATTTTGTTCAAATCATGTCCCCTGGGGCTAGGATGGGGCCATAATAGAAGATCAAACATAGAAAAGCAAAAATATAATTGCAAAAAAGCAGGATACGGCCGCAGAAAAGCAGGGCTTTTTTTCCTGTGAATTACTGTGGTTTCATCAGTTTTCGTTGGCATCAATTTTCGTGTATTTAATAAAACGGACTTTTTCGAGGATACGTTATTTCGTGGACAAAAGCATTGCCTATACAAATGAATAACATATTTCGTAAATCAATGAACATTTTATTTCGTGGATCTGCCCAACAACGAAATCCTCAAATATTGGTGCTCAACGAATATTGATGAAACCACAGTATGTGAATCAGACTAGCAG